CTGAAATCTTTGTTGCTTTATTCCTTCTGTTTGTTCTCTTCTGGCACTAGTTTACTTCTGACATCTGCCATGTACTTATACATGGTAGATTGCAAGGCTGCTACTAGAAGGTCAGGCTTCTGTATCAGATATATATTGACTAGAGAGCTTACTTCTCAGAAATACACACCAGATATGTTCACTATAAGATCCTTTAATACTCCTCGTGGCTGACTAGTATAATATGGTTCACCATTCCGTTACAATGCTAAATCAGAATTTGTGCCTTATTACTCTGGGCAGTAAACAAAGAGAGAGTCAATCCTGCCCTAGACAGATTATAATCCAGGATATTTAAAAACAAATAAAAGGCAGGGAGAGAAACACAACATTGCTATTGTCAGACACTTACACACACACCTACAACACTAGGATCGGGGCCCTACTTTGTAAACATGAGGTAAAGTCAACAAGAATGAAACTGCAGCAAAAAGCTCCTGTCAATAGATTAAATATCTAGATCACTGCACAATTGTACTACAATGATGAACTACTATATCCTTTTTGTCAGGAGGAACATCAGCCTTCTTGGAAGTTTATGAGTTTTTCTCGTCCGATTTCTTGTTCTACCATAAATCAAGTACTGTTTACCTGTGTAGGTATTTCACAGTATAGGTAATAATAATATAGCACTTTTCATCAATAGCTCTTAAAAAAAGCTTTACAAAGGATGATCAATATTTTTATCCTCATTTTACAGACAATGAAACAAAGGTAGATAGGTGAAGCGATATACCCAAATTCACCCAGGTAGTTGTTGCTGTATCCACAAGACCATACGGCCTCCCTGTATTTATTAAATACATCAAAACTGTTGACACATTTTCCAAAAAGATCTTGATTTTGTTTTTGTCAGTTGCCTAGGCATATATTCAGAAAAAAGAGCATTAACTCCCATGTTACCTATGTTGAGTTTAGTTTGATTGCACATGGGCAGAAGAGTCTGCAGGATCAGGTTATTAGTTTTGTTTCAGATCTTTATTACAGGGACTCTCTCTTCCTCCTTGAGTACAGAGCACCTAACACAACGAAACCACGATCCCAAATTTGGGCTTCTGCCACTGCGCTATTCAGATCAAGGCAAAGCAAAGAGGATTTTTTGCGGCTGGTTCAAAGCCCTTGTGGGGTTGCGGGATTTGTCGTTTAAGCACAGTGTGGTTCAGCGCTGCAAGAGCCACAGGCCGGGCACACGGGGTCGGACGCACGCAAGGGATACTTTGAGCCAGAGAGGGGCGCTGATCGCTGGGGGCGATGTGTCCCGAGGGACACGGGACCCGGCTGGGGGCGCACAGCTCCCGGCTCCAACCCGCGGGGAAAGGGCATCGCCGGCCCCGGGCCCTGACCGCTGGGGAGGCCGCTGCGGCAGCGGGGCGCGAGCGCTCCCCTTCCCGGCCACGAAGGCAGGACTCGCCCCGCCATAGGACCCGAGCGGGCCGGGCCGGGCGAGGGGGGAGTGGCCGGGGCGGCTCCCCAGAGACACCGGCCCGCAGCCAGCGACGCCCAGGAAAGACCCGGCCTCTGAGCCCCGCGCTCCCCGGGCGCCTCTTACTGTAGGTGACGGTCACGGTCACCGGGCTCCCGGGCGACGCCATCTCCGCCAGGCCTCCGCCTTCCCAGGGAAGCGCCGCCACCAAGTGCTTCCGGGGCGCGCCGGAAACAGCGCTGCTGCGCAGGCGGGGAAACAGCAGAAGCCGCCGCTGGGGCCACCGGAAAGGAGTCCGCGCGCGGCCACCCCCCCGCCACCACGGGCCCGCCTCCCTCGGGCAGCGGTGCGCTTCCGGGTCCGTCACCGCCCCCACCAGCACAGACAGCGCGGGGGGGCTTTGCAGGAGCCGCGGCCTGGCTGGGGCCCCTGCTGCTGCAGGAGCCGGCCCAGGGCGGTCCCGGCTCTCCGGGGTGGAAATCGGGTCCTCCCCTCTTAGCGCTCAGCTCCTGATGCGTTGGGTCCCGCCTGACTCCGTTTCCGAGTGCGCGGGGAGCGCACGTACACAGGCCGCCTCAGCTCCGCTTGCTGCTCGTCGGCTAATGGCCCCAGCAGCGAAGGGGGGGATGCGAGGCCTCAGTCCTGCAACAATTCTGGGGTGTTACTGTGCACATGGTGTCATCCTATCCACTTCAATGACACCACTCACGGGGTTAAATCTTTACAGGATTGGGGCTCCAGGGCTGATAGATCAGGCTGTAGTTAAAGTTCAGGGGGTGCTTGCCTGAGCTATGGCCTACAAATGTTAAACTTTTGTTTTCTGCACTTTTTTAGAACTGGCATCCTAAAGTTGTTGCACTCTGTGAACAGAGACCCCTTTGGTACCCCTTCTCTAGTAGATCTTTTTGTATTTTATCCGTGCAGTGTACAGGAAACGTTCAAATAATGTGAAGTTGTAACACTGATAATTTTTCTAATCTTCATTTACAGAGTTAATACCACTGTAATAATAAAATTGGAAAAATGTCCACAAAAAGTGTAAATCAATTTTATAAAAAAGTTCTGGAGACTCACATTTTAGGGAGGCTGAGATACACCTAACTAGGAGAGCAAAAGGGTACCCTATGCCAACCTAAAAATCAATGCAAAGAATTATGCATCTGCAAATCTGAAAATTGAATGAGAGCCACTATAAAATTTAAATGGCAGGAATATGTAATTGTACACTTCTTGCTTTTGTTCATTGCTGCCCCGAGGAAACAGGCATGTTCATTATTAGGAGCATTTCCATTTACAGACAAGAAAAGCACTTCGGAGTATCTGCAGTATGAGTGCAAGTATGATTACACCAACAGTCAGTTTCATAGCAACTTGGGAAAAAATATGTTGACATTACTATTTTAGCACTTAAACTACAACAAATGGATAACTTTTTGAAAAACACCAAGGAACCTGAAAAGGAGTACTTGTGGCACCTTAGAGACTAACCAATTTATTTGAGCATGAGCTTTCGTGAGCTACAGCTCACTTCATCAGATGTTTACCGTGGAAACTGCAGCAGACTTTATATACACACAGAGAATATGAAACAATACCTCCTCCCACCCCACTGTCCTGCTGGTAATAGCTTATCTAAAGTGATCAACAGGTGGCCCACCTGTTGATCACTTTAGATAAGCTATTACCAGCAGGACAGTGGGGTGGGAGGAGGTATTGTTTCATATTCTCTGTGTGTATATAAAGTCTGCTGCAGTTTCCACGGTAAACATCTGATGAAGTGAGCTGTAGCTCACGAAAGCTCATGCTCAAATAAATTGGTTAGTCTCTAAGGTGCCACAAGTACTCCTTTTCTTTTTGCGAATACAGACTAACACGGCTGTTCCTCTGAAACCTACCAAGGAACCTGATCTGTCAGCAGTCGTAGGAAATACCACACTAGATCTGACCAGCAATCCATCTAGTCCAATATCCTGTCTCCAAAAGCAGGCAGTAGCAGCAACTTAACAGGAAGGTACAAGAAACCCTGCAGTTGGCATTTATAACATGTCCCCAGGAGGTTTCCTCCTAAGCCCCGTAGTCAGAAACTAGTTTATGCCCTGCACCTTGGAGGGGTTAAAAGCCCTCTATTTTTTTTTAAAATTTACTGTTAAAAATCTAACCAGAGTTTTCTTTTTCCACTAAACTAGGGCAAGTAGGGAACATTTCCCATACTGCTACTTACTTTAATGGGAAAGTGCTTTATAAATATAAGAAGGAAATGTTCATATTAAAATTCATTGTATGCAGTGTTGTAGCTGTGGTGGAACCAGAATATTAGAGAGAAGATGGGAAAAGATTTTTTATTGGACCAACTTCTTTTAGTGAGGGATACAAGCTAATGAATAGTCTCTCACCAACAGAAGTTGTTCCAATAAAAAATGATCTCCCTTCCCTGTCTCCATAATAAATATGGAAATTAATACAGCTGGTCAACAATGGAACAAAAATTCTGTTGAAATTGTTTTTCCATCAAAATGTTGGATGGAAATGTTGGTTGCTTTTATATTTTTAGACCAACTCTAGTAATTAACTTAAAGATAGAAAGCCTGGGATTCCAATTACTAAGATGTCTCAAACAGAAGTTTGCCTTGCTCACTGTAAAAAAATTATTCTTGGGTATTTAGCTAAAAATCGTATACAATTTCAATTTAGTTTCTGATGGGTCCTCTAATGGAGGAGATGGGTTCTATGGCCTAATAGCTCTTTTCTTTCTCTAACTTATGACTTAAGTCTCAAAATATATTAGAAACAATCTCCAAACAGTTCCAAAGGGCAATATTCTAAGAAACTATTTGCTTCCCCTGCCCAGACGATACTGGATTCTCATGCACAGTAAACTGGAATTCGCCAACAACTAATGCAATGGGAATACAGATTTACAGTGATCCTAAAGAGATCTAATTTTTGTTGTCACTTCACAACCTGTGTAAAATATTTGATTCCACACTGAATAGTTTAAAAATATCAATTCTGTAATACAATGTTTTATTTACATTCCTTTAGGTTAAATTAACAAAAGATGATTTACATAAAATGCTGTATACAAGTCCAAAACAATCTGATCTAAATTCCAGTTTCCATCTATGTTATTTTAAACAGATTTTGAAATCTGATAATTTAAAATTCTGCTTTATACTAGGTACAGTACTTAGCTATGTTCATCACCACTTAGATTTAGGAAGGGTATGTGTACTGCAACTAATTCTTTTCTTTGCCTTCAGTTTCTTGTATGGGAAGAAAATGTCACATGTGTAGACTATTCCAGGCAACATTTCTCTAATGTACAAGTTTACTAATGGAGGGCTCTCTGTTCCCAACCAGCTAACAGTTCTAAGGCTTATTATTATTGTTAATGTCTTGCTTCTTTAGCTGAAGGAAAACTTACTAGCAACAACTAAGGTTACAAGTAAACTATTTTGTATTTTTGATTACATATGAATACGTTTACTTTTTTAAACCAAACTGTTCATTTCAATTAAGGAGGGATGTGTTCTTAAAATTTATGTTGGAAAAATATCTTTATTAAGCATAAATAAGTTTCAGTTTCTGTACAGCAAACATTTGTATACTTCATTCCTGATAAAAGTGGAAAACTATCTGGGCCAGACTGAAAGACAGTCTGTTACAAGATTTGGCAATACAACCTTCAGTAGAGGAGATCTGAGTTTGAGAGTACTCTCACTCTTCTGGCCAATGGGTCCAAAGAAAGGGAGATGGCCGTTTGTTCTATAACCACTTTTTGCTAGACATTCTATAGAGCAATAATAGAGAAAGTAGAAATGCCCTGACTCATGACAAGAGGAGAAGCACAGCAGTAGCAATGGTCTTAAAGAAATGTTATTTTAGAATTCCAAGAGGGAGATATGTGAAAGGGTGGAGGAACTTGAGGATCATAACCAACCTCCAGCTTTAGACTAAGCATGTCAAGGGAGGGCCCATGCTCAAATGCTGAATGACACTGATGGAAACAAGGGACAGGTTAAAACTACTACCAAAAACACCACACAAGAGGATAAGCTACTCTATGGTATAAACTTTTATGTCAAAATGGAATACATAAGGTTAAAGATAACCTTTGTATATATTTATTTGTTACAGTTATAATTAAGAGTTACAAATACAATATCAAGTCTCAGAACTGAAGTATTCTTAAAAATGCATCCATTGGTTATTAAATCAGTACAGTAAGTAATAAGGAAGCTATCTTACAGAAGGTAAGCAGCCACATAGCCTTAGTTTGTTTCAGAAAACAGAAATGTAATACAAATCAAATCAAGACAAAGCTCAACTATTAACAGCCACCACTATTTTTCATGTACTACTTCTTCCATAAAACACCGGATACTCAAAACCTAGTAGACTGAATGCATCCACTGAAGGAAATTGTGCCAATTTTACTCCTCTAATAGAAAAGTCAATAGTATATCAACTTTCTTCCAAGAAAGGAAACACCACCAGCCATTCATATTGCATTTTAAGATGTAGTGATATTAAGGTTATACTGAAAAGGCAAGTTTTCCAGGATTTCAAAAACTGTTTTGCTAATTTGATTTGTAAGAAGTAACTTGCCATTTCCAATGTGCTCTAAAAATGCATGTTTATGTAGCAGGGATCTGTGGCAGTCCAAATTCATCCACCAATACACCATCCTATGGAAAAAAAGATATAGTTTAATGAATTATGTATCAGTCTTTAAGATTACTTTATAGTAGGAGTTACAAGACCAAATAGGAGCATCAGTATTTTCTGTAGCCAACCTCACTTACTGATTTTATTATAGCCCAAAAAAGTGAAAATTGAACATCAATCAGCTGACATATGCTTACATACAAAAGCCATGTGAAAAAAAGTTGGAAAAGCATGGGAAATGCTGGTTTAGGTTTACTTGAAAAAACATGTAAAAATGCTAAGTACACTATGACAGCCCTTTCAACTAATTACAGTCAGGACCTTATGGGGAAATAGATTTTTACAGCAGAAAGACACTAGGTTGTACAATAAAGTTGGCCCCCCAAAGCATACAAGGGAAATCTATACAAGAGACTATCCTAAGCATCTCCAAACATGCTAAGCACAATTCTGCTCCACCTTTAAGGCTTTCCATTAAGCAACAGCTTTATCAGTTTCATGAGTGACTGATTAAAACAAGTTTTACTGTACATTTATTAAATGAGAGGGAAAAGGCCCACCTTGTTTTTTGCATCAGTAGGGGTGCCTTCTGGAATTGCTGGAGCAGATGCAGCTTCATCTAAATAGGAACTGTCCTCATCAACTAAAAGCTCATCACCTAAGGCATCCAGTTCTGAAATTGAATTACATTACATATGTTATAGCTATACAAGGGCTGAAGGACCGATTGATCATGGTGATGTTAAATTAAGCAAGGGATTTCTTTTGCAAGGAAAAAAAACACATGTAAAGTAAGTTACTGGGGGATGTGTTAAGAACAAAACCAGAGCATCTGCCCTGGCAGACGTGCCATAGGGCAGCTGGAGGAACACACAAAAGGGGCCTGTGACATTCTATGCCTTGGGGGAGCACCCTGTAACCCCCATATTCCTCATTTCTATACAATCATGATCTTACATCTAAAGCATGCCTTGTAAGGTATCAGGGGAAAGGTTATGATCTGCTGAAAGTCATTTCTCTATCCATATATGTATACCATTAATGCATATGAAGTTATGAGAATTCTGTTGTATGGCTGTCACTAAAACATGCTGTAAGTTGGGGAATCAGCCACATATTAGCTCCCCAGAGGCAACAGCAAGGAAAGTAACCACCAGGCGGGGTATCAATCAACCCATCAACAACCATCGTCCCACAAGGGAGCTACAATTCAATGACTCCTGTGCATGAGACCACACTAGGAGAATTCCTCAGCCTTGCCTGGAGACTCAGCAATGCCCCCAGACATGCCTAGACTTGTGTTCTACAAGCACATGGACTGAGGGTATAAAATCAAACACAGGGGGCCCATGCTTGGCCTTTCTCCCTCACCCACCTACACTGCAAGCAACAAGGACACTCTGAAGACTCCAACTGAGGGGACTGGCTCAGATTTCAAGGGTGAAATCTGTGTACCATGAACTGCAATATCCAGTGGGGTGAGGAAAACCTGTTTAATCTAGTTGTTGCCCAGTATAATAAGGTTGAGAGTTTAGATTGCATGCTTACATTTTATTTTGGTAACTAACTCTGACTTTTTGCCTATCACTTAAAATCTATCTTTTGTAGTCAATAAATTTGTTTTACTGTTTATCTTTACCAGTGAGTCTGCCTGAAGTGTGTGGTAAATCTGCTCAGGATTTGCAAAGGCTGGTGTGTGTCCACTTTCCATTGTGGAAGTGGTGAACCAATTAATAAATTTGCACTGCCCATCTTGAGCAGTGCAAGACAGTATATTCCTGAGGTACAGTGCTAGGGGGATTTGGCTGATGCCTTTTCCTGTGTGATTCATGAGTGGCTCTGGGAGCATTCATGCAATCTAGCTGGGTGGGAGAGTTCCACATGCGGTTTTCCTGAGTGATAACAGCACCTGGACGGGTTTGCTGCTGGTCACTAGCAAGGCACTGAGAGACACAGCCCAGGCTAAAGAGGGTTAAGGGGGCACAGCGGTCCCACAGTCCCAGGCTGCACCCTTGGGGAATCCCATCCCAGTGGCGCGGCGAGCAGGGTGAAATACACAGCTTGTTGTACTGAGCAAGATTTGCATTTTATACACTGGTGTAAAGATCTTGCGTATGGTGGCTAACGACAGTCAGGAGGAAGCTACCGGTTTGTTATTTTCTGTTTGGACGTAGGGACAGAAAAGCAGGAAAATGACTGAAAGCAGTGAAGCAATTGGAAGTTGGAGCTTTTTAAGCTGCAGGTTGCAGAAAAGGAGAGGGAGAATCAGAGATTATTGGAACTGAAAGAACTGGAGATAAAGGAAAAGCGGGAAGAAAGAGAAAGGAAGCAAGAGGAAAAAGAAAGAGTGGGAGCAAAAACACCAACTGGACCTGCTAGAGAAGCAGAACCAGAACCAACCAACCCCAGCAATACTCATCACGCTACAAATCCACAATTGGGACATTTATGTCCTGCATACAATGAGGTAGATTATATTGCTGAATATCTGACCACATTTGAAAGGCTGCAGGCAGTGCATGAAATCCTTGATGCCAAGAGAGTTCCTACCCTGATTGCAAAATTAACTGGTAAGGCTCTGAATGTATCTAATGAAATGCCTATTGAGGATGCTTTAGACTATTGTAAATTTAAAAACACCGTTTTGCAACGGTTTCAGATTAACCCTGAAACATATAGAGTTAAATTTAGGACTCTTAGGAGAGATTTTGGTATGAGTAATGGGGAACATGTGACCAAAATGAAAGATGTGATGGGAAAGTGGGTGAGGGGCAAAGGTGTCACCCAGCTTTGAGGGAATGTTTGATCTTGTGGCTCAAGAGCATTTCCTAGACATATACAAGGCTGATGTAAAGCGGTGTCGATGGGACAAAAATGTAAAGTCTGTGGATGAGATGGCATCGCTAGCTGATGCCTTTGAACAGACCCAGGCATCTATTGAAAACAAACCACTGAAAGAGGTGTCTAAAGCTGGTGGAAAGGGAAGATCCCATTTTATCCCCAGCAAGAGGATGGGAGGCTGGGTACTCACCTCCCCAAAACCATTCCTCTAACCCTCATCCCAAATCTCCTGTAAAAACAGAAGAGCCCAAAAGGTGCTATCAGTGCAATTCCACTGATCATCTGAGGAATAAATGCCCTATGCTAAGAGGAAACAGGCAACCAATAGCTCATGTTAGTTCTGCTGTCCTCCATACAGAAACCCCCCAGGCAATCAAAACCTATCATACTGGTTTTGTGAGATTAGCTTCTGCAGAACCAGATATGGAGCATGTTTCGCTTGTCCAAATTAATGGCAAGGAATGCTTAGGGCAAAGGAATACAGGGGCCCAGATCTCTCTGGCTAAGCAGAGTATGGGCCATTATGTTATCTGGCCAAATGGCAGAGATTGTGGGGGTGGGCAAAAGCAGATTCCTCGTACCACTAGCTAAAATCCATGTGGCATGGGAAGGTTTGGAAAGTGTTTTGACTGTGGGGGTAATGGAACACCTTCTAGTCAACCTGCTTCTTGGTAATGATTTTTTTCGTGTAGCTCAAGTTAAAATATTTGCCTGCAGCAGGAGGGAGTTTTATGCTGGGACTCCTGAGGGAAAGGGTAAGGTTTTAGGAACTGCTGAGAGAATGAGAAAGTCTCCTTGATTCTTCTGCAGCAGGGGGAAGCCACATGCTTCCCGGTGGGAGGCTGGTTGAGACCAGTTCCTGCACTGCAACTGGAGGCAACACCACATCAGGAAGGGATGGGGGTGTAATACCTGCCAGGGAGAGAACTGTCCAGGTTGTTAGTTGCCAGCAAGTTGCAGCTGAACCAGAGATAGATCCAGCTCTAGGGAGCATAGATAAATGTGTCCCAGAGGACAGCCCAAAGAAGGGGCAGGGAATCTCAGAAACCACTGAGTTGGGTGAGGATTCCCGTGACTCTGTAACACAGGGCAGCCACATGCTTCCAAGTATAGGAGGAGCTGAGATTAGCTCCTGTCCAGCAGAAGGCAATATACCCTCAGGATCGGGGGCAGGAGAGGTATTGTCAATGGCTAAAGAAACAGTCCCAGTTGTCAGCTGGCAGAGTTTGCAGCTGAACGAGGGATAGACCCCTTCCTAGGGAGCACAGAGCAATGTGTCTTAGGGAGGGGCCCAGAGGAGAAAACTGGGGAAGGAATAGTGAGAGTACAGAAATGTCTCCTCACTGATCACTTGGGAGAGGATGCCCAGGACAGAATGGCTGAGTCAGCATCTGTGCACCCAGGCTGCACCCCAGGGATCCTGTCACAGGGCCAACTGACAGAATCCCTCCACCAAATACTACTCTGAAAATGAAAACTTATGGGACTTCACAACAAAGAGGACATGGAAACAGCGGCCCAGGATCGACAGGGATGGTGGAGCATTGTTTGTGCACTAAGCAACATCTGACAATGCAGAGGGGATTCATATTCAGAAAGCTGAGGGAGAGGGAATCTGCTCCAATAAAGAAGCAACAACCATCTATATCTGAGCCAACAAATTACTTAACAAGACAATCAGTGATACATAAAAGCACTAGAGAGAAACTAGAATTAACCCCATGGAAAAGATTTTTTTCTTCAGTAACCACAGAATTCTATAAACGTCAGTTATTTAATACATTAACTTGTGCTTTTGCCTGTGCAGCTTCTGAGTTAAAAATAACTGGCTACCACTAATTTCTTGGGGGAGGGTGTGGGGGGTGGAAGGGCGGGCAAGAAATTGTGCTCTTGCAGAAAATAACAGTACCACTGAATTTCCCTATACTCACTAACCTGCTTCCAAATCATCTTCGTCAATCTCTGGTGTTCCATAACTACGACCCAGTGCATCCTGGATTTCACTGGCTTCTTCCATCATATCCTCCAATTGGTCTTGTATGTCCTGTAGTAGCAACAAAGAAGTTACACTTGTCCCAATTGCAGAGTTACAAGCGGATTCAACTATAACTATACACTGAAATTCAGAAGTGACTCAGGAGCTAATGATGCAGAACAAGCTCCTCTGCTGGGCGATTTTAATTTATAAATCCTGCTTGAAATTGTTATAATAGAATATTGTGTTAACTATGCATTTGGTGTAACCCTCTGGGTTCTCAGCAGTTAAAAAAAATAAAATATAAATGGACTGAAATAGAGGGAGGGGAACTGGCACCAAAATCTCTGAAAGTAGCAGGTTCTTTTATACTTCTCCAGAGTGAATTTAAAAGACTTAAACTAGAATCTAGTATTAGCTAGCAGAAGGAAGACATGAGGCACATACTAAAAAGCAAAACCGAACTATATTTTTTTAAATTTCATACACTGAACTCTAGTGTGGAAGTGCAGCGACCATTTTTTCCTCACTTACATTCATACCAAATGATGAAAGTCTCCTGGCATGCTTAATAGATTCTTTGCGTACTAAAAACAGACAAACTTCCAAGACTGCAAATGAAGCCAGTCAAAATCAATGGCAAAGCCATATTAGATGGCTGGACGTTCTAGAATGGGGTCAGAAGCATCTAGAATGGGCTGAAAGGACATTTAAAGCATGAGAGATCAGAGCAGAAATGTTAGCTGTGAAACTCATGCCACTGATGAAGGGGGGAAGTCGGGATCAGAAGTAGTTGAAAGAGTGAAGTGACAGAACCAACATGGATAGGAAGAATGGGGAAATGTGATTAGATAGGATTTCACAAAACACACCAAAAACCAGTAGACTTGGGAATGGATGTTCCCAGAGAAAATACTACATCTGGTCAGATATTAAAAGCCACACACAAAGTGATCAGCCCAGTGACATTATGGGACAATCCAAAGCATTATTATATTTAATAACAGAGTTGAGAAGATGGAAGTAGTTCCACATTAGGATGATTGTCTCGTTAGAAGACAATGAAGTCTTTTCCACAATTCCAAGTACAGTATTATATATCAAACTCTTGTTTTATCAATATTTTCAGCTCAGACACTTGGGTTTTTAACAATTTATAGACAAGGAAGAAGAGACCCAAAATTGAAAGCCATAGACACATTTATGTTCAGTGCTAAGGATATATCCATATTTGTAACTAACACTTATTAAAGACGCTAATTGGGAGGCCTGGAAAGAATCAACCTCAAGTACAGAAATTTGAGGAAGCTAGAAGCTTATCTGGGTGTTCTAAAGAATGAGGACTAACTTGAGTTGTGCCATGATGAAGTCAATCAATTACAAAAAAAAAAAAAAAAAAACACACCAGATTTTAGTGTAAATCTTACACTAAATGCTTATGCAGATAAGACAACAAGCCTTGCCCCCAAAGGGCTTACAATGTAGACACTGTACCTAAACAAAGAAACGGTGATAGAGTACACCAAAAAGATGATGTAGCAGCCACGTTTAGAATGTGTTTTAACCTTTGCACTTTTATTTTTGGGGCAAAGTCATAGTTATTTAGTAAAAAACTTCTTAGGGAAGGACTAGGCCTTATAGACCTCTTGGAATTATGTTTTCAGAAGGTACCAGGAGGAGAGGTTGGGAACATGGAGAACCGATTTGGAAGGAGGGAAGTGTTAGGGGACTTATTCCTTCACCCACTTACTTCCCTGGTCCTTCTCGCATGAACAGAGAGCAACAATACCCAAAGTCCAAAGGTGCAAACAATTCGATGTTTATTGGGGTGAACTTCCAGCAAGCATGATTCCAGTGTCCTTCCTTAGTGTCCCCCTTCCCAGCTCTGACACCAGAGCCTTAACACCTATGTCCCTGTTCCCATTCCTGCCCCTAGCCAAACATGATTCCAATTTCCCCACCCCCATTCCCACCGCCACCCACTTCCTAACTGACTGCAGACTATATAGTAAAACTTGAGTTCTGCTTAGCTATACCTTAACCAATCATTTTACTGAAATTTAACTAACCAATCCTAACATATCGTAACATGATTATGTAACCAATTATATCTCATCACCTTAATTAGTTTACACCCAGCAAAATTAATTATACAGCAGACAGAAACAATCACAGAACCAGACAGAGATTATACAGACAAACAATAGCAAAGTGGGAACTATAATGACAAAACTATACAGAAGTGAGGATTTCACATCCCAGCTATTGATAAGTGAGTTCTTGCCAGACAGGATGCTATCAAACTAAAAGTTTCCTTTTACATTTTCTAAGCACTCCCCTTTCTCTGGGGGCGATAGGCATTATCACGACAGGACTGTATTCCTAACAGTCCAATAGCACCTTCTTTCAATGTGACTAGTTTGGAATGTGAGGAGGTGACCAGTCGCTTCCCAGCTTATGGCTGCCTCTGCTGCTTAGCCAGAGATCTTAGCCTAAGCACAGGGCCTCAGACTGTCACAGTAAGAGAAGGCTCTTACACCGGCAGACAGTGATTTTGATTCTCTCTTTTATACCTCTATAACAAGCCAAGTACCTAAATTCTTAGAGTATAGGCCTTTACAGACAGGCCTGAATATCTATATCCTAACAGGAAGTAACAAAGTTAACATGGAAGAACATTAGGAAACAAAAGTGGGAGGAGGACATAACCAGAGCAGATCATCATAAAGTTTGGGAGGAAAAAGTGGCTGGAGCAGAGATGTAGTTCCAGTGGGATAACTCAGAGGAATTGAAAGCCAAGTGCTGGGTTGTACAGTCAAAGGAATTAAAAATCCACATGATGAGGATTAGCAGCATATAGAAAATTAGATCAGTTTCATCTTTAACAAAAGCTGTAAAGCTGCCCATTTCTGATGGAAGCAATCAGCTGTGCATTTAGCTCATTTTCACTGTTCTCTCTGGTATAGGCAATGAATGTTTAATTCCAAATAAACTGTGTGCGCATGGTAATAGCCACTATTTAGCATTTTAACAGCATATTTAGATAGCTTAGTAGTAAGCAGTACAAATGCTCACCTCAATGTGATCAATTTTGACTTGCTTATAAGCCTTCTTCATTTCTTTCACCCCCAGTTTCATAGCATCAACCTAGAAAGAGTCAAACAAGATGCTTGTATCTACTGCAGCACTTATAAATAAAGTAAACTTGAAATGAATGAACTGATACCGTTGTCTTTGTGTCCTTAAGTGATTGGATGGTGTAATTGGCTTGTTCCATATTAAAAGACTGTTGTGACAGATTATCCCGCTGTTGTTCATACCTGTTAAAGTATTACAGTAATGTTTTAAATACAGCATTTGTATGTCATACAATTTGTAAGTAACCCTAATGAAATTCACAAGATACCTAAGAGAAACAGTACTTTTCAAACTTGGAAACAAAAACAGAAGGCAACCTCTGCTCTTTACTTATTTGTAAATAGTATTCAGTAATAGTCATTTTAATTTTGTTCTAAGGGCCCTTGAACATGACTATGTATTTATGTCTGTTACTTGATAAAGCTATTTCTGAATGCAGAATTAAACGTCTTCCTTAGATGGCTGCATGCATGCCCATGTTTACACAGTTTTATATACTGTGCTTGGTTGGGATATAAATTGACAAATTTGGGATGAGTGCATTACAAGAACTCCTACTTAACGTTGTAGTTATGTTCCTGAAAAATGCTACTTTCAGCGAAACAATGTTAAGCAAATTCAATTTCCCCATAAGAATTAACGTAAATAGGGGGACTTAGCTTCCAGGGACATTTTTTCGCCAGACAAAAGACATTTTATTTTTATACATATATACACACACATATATATACACACATACTATAAGTTTTAAATAAACAATTTAATACTGTATACAGCAATGATGATTGTGAAGCTTAGCTGAGGTGGAGGAGTCAGAGGGTGGGATATTTCCCAGGGAATGCCTCGCTGGTAAATGATGAACTAGCACTCGGCTGAGCCCTCAAGGGTTAACACATTGTTGTTAATGTAACCTCACACTCTACAAGACAGCACGAATGGCGGGAGGAGACACAATAGACCTGCAAACATCCCCTGCGGAAACTGAAGATGAACGCATGTTATCCCACTGGAGTGCACCACTCCCCAAAGTGCCGTGGTGTGTGTGAGTGAGAGTGGCGCATTGCCCATTCAAGTATGCTGACCCTACTTTAATTACACTGCCTTTTCAAGTCGATCAGCAAGTTGAGACAGCAGCTGCTGCCAGCAAGCTCCCTCTGTCCTGAGCCCTGTCATGCCCCCTTCCCCCCCCCGGCTCTGTAGAGATGGGGTACAGGAGTGGGGGAGGGGGACACCCTGACATCAGCACCCCTCTTTCCCTCCACCCCCTGCACAGCAAGCAGGAGGCTCCAGGGAGCAGCTCCAAGGCAGAGGGCAGGAGCAGCACATGGCAGTGGGGGGAGCTGAGCTGCCCGAAAATTGATAGCCTGCTGGGCGGCTGCTACACAGGGAACTTAGGGGAGCTGCCAGCCCACCCTGGTTCCAAGCCCCCACCAGCTAGCTCCAACGGGCTGCTCTTCTTGCAAGCAGTGGACAAAGCAGGCAGCTGCCAAACAACACTATAAGAGAGCACTGGGCAACTTTAAAGGAGCATGTTCTCTAATAGATCAGCGACATAACAATGTTAACTGGGATGACGTTAAGTGAGGAATTACTGTACTTACTAATGGCACAGCAATATGGGTGAAACGTAGTTCACCCATAGTGTGCTCTGATTGGGTCCAACCGGAACGTTAAGAACACCAGCAAGACCCAAGGGGCTATTGATTGTGCATATAAAGAATTTACTGTGATGCTGATTCATGCATGCAAAGTAGAAATGTATATAACATGCAGCAATACCTATATATAAGCAAGACAGAAACTCGAGTGTAACTTCAGTGATTTCCCAGGATTTCCCAGTCATTTTGTTTTAATTCCAGGTGTACAGTACTGCACGTTATATAATATTATGTGTACATTAAATACCAAACCTATTTATATATTGTTATACAAATAATGCACAGACATGCTAACACTGACATTTTTTAGCTTTGATACTTCAAGATCTAAAACTGGATGTTTATAAACAGCTGGCTGCAATTTCTTCCATGATTTGTTTGCAAGAATACTCACAAGAAATGGCACAGAAATGGAAGAGGAAGTGCAAAGTGTGCCAATCCTCCCCAAACCAAACAGTATTTCACTAAATAAGGATGAAGAGACTTTGAAACTTACATTCGCTTCTGCTTTAATACTCTCAAAGCCTTCTGTTTTACCATATTCTGAAAGAGACATGAGAGCCAGATGTTAGTAAAAACAAAAAGGTAACAATTTAATTGCTCTGGGTTATATTATTACAATATTTAATGCATAATATTAATTTTTTTTACTGTGAGAGGTCCTTTCTTTAAAATTGTGAGAGCTGTTAAACACAGTTAACAGTCACAATGAATACTCAAAGTCAGGATTGAAACAGGCATATCTATATGTTGGTAATAATGAAACCCCATATAACTTCTGTTTAAATAAAGGAAAAACACACTGAAAAAGCAGAACATACTCAAATAAATGGCAAATTTCTCTAAACATTACCTTTCAAAAACATTTCAATGGTCAGTATCAACCAATTAATGCTTTATAAGGTGCTATCAGTATTTCACTACATGCATGAAGAATTTCCATTCAATTTAAAATTCAAAACAAACTAAACTTTGTTAACAGTTGTTTCCTTTAGGTGTTTGCACCGTTTCTTAAGTTCATGGGGTTCCCCCCCCCCATCCATTTCTGAAAGATTTGGAACCTCCTCCACACGCAACTGAACCAAGGAGACTGCCTGCAGACTTGACCTCAGAGCCGCAGGGGAAGGAGGAAGAGAAAGCAAGAAAAGGAACTCAGACTCCCTTCTCCCAAGGGAGCCTAATGGTTTCACAGGGATACCCAGATTGTACTTCTAAGTTCTTGCATTTTCTCCTTGCTTCCTCCCCTCCCCACACCACTGTTCTCCATATTTTGGTTTGCAAGCTCTACCTGAGAGAGCCTTAAAGTAAGCAAACTGGTCCCACTTTCATCTTTACCCCTAACCACTCTGAGATCTCATTTGCATCTCTCAGGAAAAAAAATGACAGTTTACATTTAGTCTTTTACTGACATTTTAATGTTTCCCATTGTAGGTGTTCAATTTAGTGAAATCTGTGACAACTATGAAAAAGAGAGACAGTGATTAGTGCAGAGGAAGACCCAATTTAACAGCGTGACTGGGTGGCCAGAGTGTGCTTGACCAAGCCTACCATCTTGAACAGCTTGATGTAGATATAAAAAGGAGGTAGTAAAAGTATTTGACTTTTTAGCCACATTTTTGAGTTTTACACAGAGTAGCATTATGAAAATGAAACTTTATTTCAAGACTAGCAATGGATATGGCACAGATCTGGGAAACAGCTGAGAATACAAACAAGCTTACAGTAGCCCACTCTCCCCCAAGATTGCAGGAAGCACGTGTAATGATACTTCTAAGAACCTGGAGAACTGGTTATGACATTGCTCCATTATGTGAAAGACTGAAAGTGTGAGTCACTTCACCTTCTCACGTGTACACCAAATAGGATTCTTACCTTTGCAGGCCCCTCCCTCATTTTCTTCATCTGATCTTTATACTTCACCAGTTCTGCATCAAGCCTACTAATTTTCTTGTCAATTGACTCAGCTCTGCTATCCACCTTTGGTACAAGGAAGACAGACAAAAAATTCATTGCTAACACTCAAGATTTTTTCCAGGCACTTGTAGTTCTTGAAGTAAAATGTGCTCACATATACAGATTTGCTGTTATACAAACTAGAATTAAAATGTCAAAAGGTTTTTGGAAAGGACAATTAGATGACAAAAGGTGGCAAAGATTCCTCCAAGCAGCATTAATTAAAAAAAACTAGACTTTATTGACTATATGTATTCAGAGAAGTGTCTCAAAGAAAACTTACGCTTTTCATTCTGTGAATTACTACTAGAGAGGGGCACACAATCATACTACATTTTTACTCATTGGTATGACATTAAATTTGCAAATTCAATTTGTATCATAATATCTGAATATAAGTAATCTGTCAACATTTTAATTCTGGTGCATTTATCCTTCTGTTATATACCGTCTCTTTGTTTAGAGAAAAACGGGTCTGCCAGCCTGGAGGAGGACACTGATAATATACTATTGCCAGAGGCATTTTCTATGCAGAGCAATTGATATCAGCTCACTCCACACTAGGGACAAAATGCCCTATCATTTTGGCACTGAAAGATTTACTTTAAGCTTTCCACTATGCCAGCTGCTTTACTAATAAAAAGAAAATAAATTGTACAATATTTTAAAAATATTGTACATTTATGGAGCCTTGCAACAACTCTTAAAGGGTCCTAAAGCTCTCCACAAACATCCATCTACCCAACCGTCACAAGGGTGGGAGGGCAATTATTATTTGGACAACTAGCGCACATCATTCTGGATAACAGGATGATTGTAAATAAGACACTGAGGCAGACCCTCCTAGTCTAGATTCTATGGCATACATAATTAATGTACACAGAACAGACAGAACTTCAGTTTCTACAGTGATGATGCAAAGATTCCTCCATGCACTCTGCAATGTAACTCAGTTTATCTGCCTCCAAAGGAATGACCTGGATGTATTGGGACTTAAACCTCTGAGTCCAGAGTCTTTAAATTCTATGTTTATTATACAAAAAAGCTTATATGTGTCCAAAGTAGGAGAAAATTCTCCTCATAATCTAAGGAGAATCCCAGTTAACATACACAAAGGAGAAATGGGTTTCATTATTAAACCACTTTCTTTCCTGTGCAAGTGAATGATACAAGCACAGAAACACTGCATTTATCTCCAGAGAAAAGGCCCATGGTGAGAGCTAACAAGTTTATTCCAAAACAAAATATTAAACTTCTGTTTCTCATGACATATCTAAGATTCTAGTTATGCCTTCTTGCGCCCCAAACTAAGTATTCTGACTACTTGTCTGAAGTAAACTACTAATTTCTGTTGTTTTACCTAAAAAATTAAATTACCAAACAAGAGTAACTGATAGAGACAACAATGTACAATCCAATATAAACTGTCAGGAAAAGAAAAGGGTGAAGAGCACTCTTACATTTTTAGTAACTGTTTTGGGGTGAACCCTGACTTAACTTAAAATTGAATGACCTCCCTCAATAATTTGCATTCTGTTTATCAGTATATCACAGCATAATTGAACTTGCTAAGGATTGTTCTATTGCGCATTACTTGTAATCTATGCTGCACTAGGAATTATTTTTATATTGAAAAAGGAGATGGTATTTAAGCGTTGATCAACTCTTAATAAATTTTAATCATGGTCACTAATTGTACCCTTACAGGTTTCAGAGTAGCAGCCGTGTTAGTCTGTATTCGCAAAAAGAAAAGGAGTACTTGTGGCACCTTAGAGACCAACAAATTTATTTGAGCATAAGCTTTCGTGAGCTACAGCTCACTTCATCGGATGCTCACAAAAGCTTATGCTCAAATAAATTTGTTGGTCTCTAAGGTGCCACAAGTACTCCTTTTTTCTGTACCCTTACAGTTTATCATCCACAGACACCTGTTCAGTTGTCATACATTGCTGAGCAACTAGAAAAGAACAAACGTAAACATAAAGAAACGTGAAAAGGACTGAGGCAGCAAAGACTATCCATCAAATGGGTAAAGAAGAGTGTCCAAAATTGATAATGTAGTATTTAAATATTTATATGCATTAAACTAGGTAATTCTGAGAACCTCACAATGTGTACATTATCTTCATTGCTGTACATTGCTCTCTATAGTGACACTTTGAGGCCACTTAAAAAGCCACTAGATCATCTCCTTCCTTATTATGGAATCTGTTATGTACATACTAAATATTCTGTTATGCAAATGTATTGTCTTCAAGAGTGGAGAAGATTTACTGTTTAAAGAATAATTCTACAGAGTACCACTAAAAATCAGACCAAGCACTTTTAGTTAGTAAAGTAATTGCAAGGAGCATCACTCAGTAGGAAAAGTTATCCCAGACACTGATCATGATCATCTCTTCCATTTGTTTATTTGTCCACTAGCATATGTAATTATCTGATTTGCACACACAGTTGATGCAATTGCATGTTATGCACAGTTGAGTGCCTAAATTCTGTTCTTAATAGGACCATCATTAGGTTGAAAAGGTAACAACCCATTGAGATGAATGGGGCAGTTTGTTTACAAGAATTGTTTCAGACAGTCTGCAGATTCCAGAAGACAGTTGTGAATTAGTTTTATAGTTCACATTTGGAAGGTTTAATTGCCACCATAAGGGCTAAAAGTCTATTTGTTTTTAGACTTTTGCTGTTAAATCACAAATGCTGCATAATTTAAATCTTCCAAGAACTTAGACAAATACCATATTATTTTTCCTCATCTTTTAATTATTTAATATATAGTTTAAAGGTATGCTCCCTAAAGCAAAAGTTTGCTGGAAGATTGCATTTCATATATTTTAAGGGCCAAAAGGACCACCAGATCATGTGGTCTGACGGCCTAAATATCTTCCTAAGTGTTCTTGCAAGAATAACATTACAACAGCAGTCAGGTACTCAACTGCATGTTTAACTGCTCTATTAATACTTTTCAACTTTTACATATTTAAAGGACAATTAAACAAGCCCATAACATCTCTGTATGCCTTTACTCTGTTTTGCAGCAAGTTCGTCTGTGGCAGAGATTGTGCTAAAAACAATCCCATCATTCTTCACCAGCCTGAGGATGGTACTCATGTGACCGGGCCACCCTTTGAACTGCATGGTGTGGGCTTCCCGCTGGGCCCAGGCCATCTTTTCCACAATGTGCACTTTGGGATTGGCAGGCAGTGGGGAGTTATGAGAGAGCAAGAAAAGAAAGGGGGGGGGGGGGTGTGACAGCCCTTGGGGGGGGGGGTGTCAGGTGCCCTCCCGCTCTCTCCATAGGAGTCTCTCTCTCTCTCTCTCGTTGGGGGGGCGGGCGGGTGTGGGGGGGCTGTGTCTCGCTCTCTTTCTCTCTCTGGGGTCGCTGTGTCGGTCTCTCGGGGGGCGTCTCTCTCTCTCTCGGGTCGCGGTGTGTTTCTCGGGGCGTGGCTCTGCGTATGGGTGTGGCTGGCTCGGGGAAGGGCCGGGCGGGAGGGATTTTGCGTCCCCGGGAGTGATAAGTCTCACGCAGGTCCCGATAACAGTGACGGCGGGCGCACTGCGCCTGGAGATCTTCCCCGCTCGCCCGGGCCAGGGCCAGGGCCAGGGCCGCCGCCTCAGGGACCCGAACGCGGGGGAGGGGGAGGGGGAGGGGCGGCCCGCCTGGCCCAGCCCCCACTCACACACTCACCGTCCCGATGCAGTCGGTGAGGTTCGGCGGCGGCACTTTAGGCTTCGATTTCCCGAAGAATCGATTCATCGCGGCGGCCTCAGAACGGGACAGACACAAGCGGCGGCGGCGGCGACACCCCCAACCCGGAAACGCTCCGTCTCGTCGTCGTCGCCGCCGCCCCTCCTCCCCTCGCTGCCGTTCGCTCTGCGCCGGCGCTAGTGACGCCTCACCCGACAGCCAATCCGGGATGGCAGAGGGCGGGACACGTCTGGAAAAGGGCGGAAGTGACGAAGGAAACCCCCAAGCTCTGCTCTTCCGCCCAGCGGAGTGAGCAGCGCCTGGCCCTGGATGTGGAGGCGGGGCTAAAAGGAGCAGCTGGGAACAGAGGCACCAATCAGAGGGCCCGCTGCAGCCCGCGCCCCGCGCCTCTGGGGGGCGCCGCTCTTCGGCCGCTGGCAGCGAAATCCTCCTTCGCGGAGGGCCGGGGCCTCCGAGTTCAGCCTCCACGGACCCCACGGCAGCGCCCCGAGGCCCTGGGGCAAGTGGCAGTCCCCGCTCCGGGCGAGGGGGCTGCGAGCGCGGCTGGGCCCCTGCCACAGCCTGAAGGGGGGTGGGGGGGGCGCTTCTCCGGTCCAGAAGGCTGCTCGCGCTCTGGGATCGTGCGGGAGGCTCCAGGCATTAAAGATGACGCTTTAATTTAAAAAGAAAAGGAGTACTTGTGGCACCTTAGAGACTAACCCATTTATTTGAGCATGAGCTTTCGTGAGCTACAGCTCACTTCATCGGATGCATACCGTGGAAAGTGTAGAAGATCTTTTTATACACACAAAGCTTGAAAAAATACCTCCTCCCACCCCACTCTCCTGCTGGTGGGAGGAGGTATTGTTTCATGGTCTTTCTGTATATAATGTCTTCTGCAGTTCCCACAGTATGCATCCGATGAAGTGAGCTGTAGCTCACAAAAGCTCATGCTCAAATAAATTGGTTAGTCTCTAAGGTGCCACAAGTACTCCTTTTCTTTTTGCGAATACAGACTAACACAGCTGTTACTCTGAAACTTATCTAAAGTGATCACTTGCCTTACAATGTGTATGATAACCAAGTTGGGCCATTTCCAGCACAAATCCAGGTTTTCTCACTCCCCCCCCCCCCCCCACACACACACAAACCCACTCTCCTGCTGGTAATAGTTTATCTAAAGTGACCACTCTCCTTACAATGTGTATGATAATCAAGGTGGGCCATTTCCAGCACAAATCCAGGGTTTAACAAGAACGTCTAAGGGGGGAGGTTGGAAAAAACAAGGGGAAATAGGTTACCTTGCATAATGACTTAGCCACTCCCAGTCTCTATTCAAGCCTAAATTAATTGTATCCAATTTGCAAATTAATTCCAATTCAACAGTTTCTCGATGGAGTCTGGAGTTGAAGTTTTTTTGTTGTAATATAGCAACTTTCATGTCTGTAAGCGCGTGACCAGAGAGATTGAAGTGTTCTCTGACTGGTTTATGAATGTTATAATTCTTGTCATCTGATTTGTGTCCATTTATTCTTTTACATAGAGACTGTCCAGTTTGGCCAATGTACATGGCAGAGGGGCATTGCTGGCACATGATAGCATATATCACATTGGTGGATGTGCAGGTGAACGAGCCTCTGATAGTTGCTATATTACAACAAAAAAACTTCAAATCCAGACTCCAGCGAGAAACTGTCAGACTGTCCTGTGATGAAACTTCCGGGACTATGGCTAAGCAAAATGGGCCACCCCTTCCCTTCTGCCAAACCTGCCCGCTCCAGGGAAGTGCTAAGGGTTCAAAAGTGACAGCTGGCAGGAAGCATGATAAAAGGTTGATGGAGTATTACTCACTCTGCTGACTTTGATCAGTAGAGCAAAGAACCTCACCCTAGTACGGGTAATGCTAATAACAGACTTTGGTTTGTCACTATGAAAGACAAACCAAAACAATAAAGTGCCCAAAATTATGACAGTAGGAGGCTAATTCATTACCTGAAGAAGAGCTCTGTGTAGCTTGAAAGTTTGTCTCTCTTCCAAACAGAAGTTAGTCCAATAAAAGATATTACCTCAACCACCTTATCTTTAATTCATTAGAGTGAAAAAGGTAAGACAACTATCCCCAAATACAGCCAGTGACCAGAGCGGGAAACTGGGTTAACGCAAAGCTCAGGCTAAACCAGAGGTGGGCAAACTATGGCCCCCAGCACTGTCCTGCCCAGCCCCCTGAGCTCCCAGCCAGGGAGGCTAGTCCCCAGCCACTCCCCTACTGTCCCCCTCCCCTGCAGCTACACCACTGTGTGGGCAGCGCAGCTTGTGCCCCCCCCCCCACCTCCCACGCTTCTCAATAAGCCTGTCCTACTGCTCTGAGCAGCATGGTAAGGAGGCAGTTGGATAGGGTGGAGGGTTGGGGGCAGCTGGATAGGGGGTGGGGTCCCAGGGGGGCAGTTAGGGATGGGGGTCTCTGGAAGGGGCAGTCAGGGGACAAGGAGTGTATGTGTGTCGGGGGTGGTTGGAGATCCCGGGGGGATTGTCAGGGAGCAGGGGTGTGCTTAGGGATCAGAGAAGTCAGGGGATAGGGAGGGTTGGATAGGGGGTGGGGTTGGGGGGGGTGGTTGGGGGTCTTAGGAGGGTGCAGTCAGGGGACAAGGAGCAGCGGGGATTGGATGGGTCAGGAGTTCTGAGGGGGTCAGTCAGGGACTGGGAAGTGGGTGGATAGGGGGTAAGTGCCAATTTCCTTACCTTGTTAAGTCTTTTTTCTAAGCTTTCCTTTTATTTTTAACAATACTGTACTGTATTTGCTTTTTTCTCTCTCTCTGCTGCTGCCTGATTACATACTTCCACTTCCAAATGAGGTGTGTAGTTGACCAGTAAGTTTGTAACTCTGAGGTTCTACTATACCAGATTTGGTTATGGAATGCAGATCACACAAGTGATCTGCTCCTGCTGATGAAGACCAGGTGTACATGCTGATATTATCAGATCTATCAACTAACTGCCTTCAGTACTGTTGGTCACGAGTTGCTGAATCACCTGTAGACCATAGCAAGATTTGCCAGGGCTACTTTTTTGTGGCTCAATTCCTTCTTTGCCATGCATTCTCAAAGGGAGGCAGGGGGCAATTATTTCTCCTGAGAGTGCTATAGAATCATAGATTCCAAAGCCAGAATGGACCATTGTGATCATCTAGTCTAGGGGTGGGCAAACCTTTTGGCCTGAGGGCCACATCGGGGAATAGAAATTGTATGGCAGGCCATGAATGCTCACAAAATTGGGGTTGGGGTGCGGGAAGGGGTGCAGGTTCCAGCTGGGGGTATGAGCTCCGGGGTGGGGCTGGGGAAGAGAGATTTGGGGTGCAAGAAGGTGCTTCAGGCTGGGATCAAGGGGTTTGGAGAGCAGGAGGGGGATCAGGGCTGGGGCAGGGGGTTGGTAGGGGAGAGGCTCAGGGGTGCAGGCTTCGAGTAGTGCTTACTTCAAGTGGCTCATGGCAGTAATGGCATGTCCCTTCTCTAGCTCCTACGCAGAGGTGCAGCCAGGCAGCTCTGCACGCTGCCCCATCTGCAGGCACCACCCCTGCAGCTCCCATTGGAGTGCTTAGGAGGAGCGGGGCCATGCCACGGTTCATGCCACGGCTTCTAGGAGCCGCATGGTGCGGCCCCCAACCCAGCAACCCGGCTGGCTGGAGTGGGGGAAGACCCAGACCCTGCTCCCCAACAGGAGCTCACAGGCTGGCTTAGAACAGCTCGTGAGCTGGATGCGGCCCATAGGCCATAGTTTGCCCACCTCTGATCTAGTCTGATCTCCTGTGTAACAGAGGCCACAGAACTTCCCCACCATATGCAGTTCCGCAATGTCCCATCTTGTTCAATGTGCCTTATGTCTTCATTTCAACTAATCCAACGAGGTCTGTTAGCTAGCCCTCAGCCAAGCACTGGGTAAGGTATTAGGCTCCAGCTGACAAAAATATCTACCTCTTTAGCTGAGGGTGTATGTCTGCCATTTGTTGTTTTGGCACACAACTGAAGGGTGTGGTTAGATATCTTGGTGTTACTAGATCAGGTTACTGCAACTTTCACTATTTAATAAAGGCTGCGAACAAAAGAGTCTGAAATTTAAGGTCCTTTAGGATACACAAGAAAGTTTTTATATATTTAATTTTTGAGAAATTAATCAGGTAAAACATTGGAAGGCAAATTTAAAGTTGAGTTTCTTGGCATTGACAATGCAGGTGCTTGGTTTACAAATATTAAAATTACATTCTTCAAAATATGAATACATTTTCAAGGACATCTAGTAAATTACTCATTCATGTTTATTCTTGAACAAAGTTTCCTTTTGGTTTAAAGCAGGCAGTCCAGTACTAGAAGGCTCCAATACTTTAAATTAGCTAATCAAATGATCTATAAAGGAAGTAATTTACATTATTTCTTTATGTTTTGTTTTAATAATAAAAGATGCATTGCCTTTTATTACAGAGTGTTAATTTTATAGATATTGCTCTGGTAGCACCATCCTTTCAAGAATGCAATTATTTTTGAGGACATGCATCTAAACTACATAAATAATAATGAGGTATCTCTGGCAATGAGATGCAGTTGGATGAATCAATCTTTTTAGAATATTTATTTGTATATATTTATTATATTAGAACAATTTTCTAATATAACCTTATGCCCCATAGAGAAAAAGCACTTTAATCATGATGTAAGTGGCCATGAAAAACAAAGTGAGCTGCAAAATATTTTGTTTTATACAATTTAATTTTTTCCTCTTAAGTACACTTGTTAAAATTACTGAGGACCTAGCATATCTTTAGGCTTCACCCATTGATCAAATTGTTCTGATGTAAGGAATCCAAGCTTAATAGCTGCTGCTTTTAGTGTTGTCCCTTCTTTGTGTGCTGTTTTGGCAATCTTGGCTGCCTTGTCATATCCTATCATTAAAACAAAAGAAACATCAGATTAATCATGAGTTTGGCCACTATGTGTTCAGAACACCTGTTAAAGACGACAACTTGATCTATTAGAAACTACTGCTACTATATTTTGTTTAATTTGAAGTCACGAGGGTATATGAAAGGATACATTGGACCAATTTTTCCTCGAATGTTGTCTTAAAGCAGTATATAAAAAAAGATCCACAAAATTAAAAGAGATATTCTGGTCATTAACCATTTAGG